CAACCCTCACAAGCAACCCACTGACCTTAACACCCATACAACCCACACAACCCTCACAAGAAACCCACTGACCTTAACACCCATACAATCCACACAGCCCGCACAAGCAACCCACTGACCTTAACACCCATACAACCCTCACAACCCTCACAAGCAACCCACTGACCTTAACACCCACACAACCATCACAAGCAACCCACTGACCTTAACACCCATATAATCTACACAACCCTCACAAGCAACCCACTGACCTCAACACCCATACAATATACACAACCCTCACAAGCAACCCACTGACCTTGAGCATAATGATGGCATCTGTCATGCCAGGGGTCTTCTCAATGGCGTGGTGTAGTTCAGTCATGTGTGTGTTGTAATACATGTCTCTAAGGACTGCTGCGTTGTAGTGCGGCGTACTCACTTCGTCAGCGCCATCGTCTGTGTGTATACCGAATCACACGGAGAGCATGTGAGTAGGTTGGTCTATAGTGGTACGTGCACAAGCTTAGGGTTCTAGGGTTTAAGGCTTTTGGGGCACTCGGGTACTATTCCCACAGAGTGCACTGGTCAGAACTTGGGGCGAGTTTTAATATGAACAATCATTTCCTATCAGATGCAAACATGTACACTTGAACCTGCACACGTTAACATTCATACCCTTTCGGAATACTACCTCAAGTAGCACTAGAGATGTATACATATATACATATACACATACCGAAATAAACTACTTCATATACACACACCTTTTCGGGGACCTCGTCCCTAACCAACACACAAGTTGTACCACACAATATATACGAACATGCACCCCCATAGAAACACTCCCCCTCCCATGATGTCCTTGCCCACAGCGCTGGTAACAACATTGATGGCGGGCTGTATTGCTAATAAGAAATTCATGATATACGCATATATGCATATACGCATATATGCATATACGCATATATATATATATATATATATATATATATATATAAAACATATATGGAACCACACGTCTCTCATACACATACCGTCTTGCACATTCTCTCCACCCAGAGCACTGGCAACAGCACGCCGACGGACTGCATTTCTGTTGGGCCCCAAACGACTGGCCGAGAACGCGTCCGTGGCCAGAGACGGGATGATGCGCACCACAAACTTGCACGGCTTCTTGGCACGGGACTTCTTCTTGCCTGTCTTGTTCTTACTGGCGTCTGATAGAGAGAAGGGAAGGAAAGGTAGCATGGTGTGAGAGAGGGAGGATAGCTCAGATATTAGCTGTCGTAGGGGGTGGCATGGGGGGTCTGGTTCGGGTGTGTATCGTGTGATCACAGGACGCTGCAGTCGAGACTATTGGTGTGAACAAGGAAGGCGAGGGCGTATTAGCGGTGTACACTTGGTTGTTCCGCTTTTTCGGACATCTGAGAGCGTATATATGCGCTTATACTGACTTTGCTAGAGGGTATGCTTGCAGCACATACGTTTTCCATAATAAACGTTTGTTCGAAGCGAGAATAGCAGCTACAGACGCTGGTGTGCACTGATCCATACTCATACACATGCACGCGTAGTTGCTTTGATCGAAAACGTCGTGTTGATTTTTACTCATACACACATAAACTAACAGTAAAACATTCATATACCCACATATACTAAAAATGCAATATTGACATTATACTCATAACCACATACCCTAATAGTAAAATATTGACATTATATTCATACTAACATATACTAATAGTAAAATATGGATATTATACTCATAACCACATACCCTAATAGTAAAATATTGACATTGCATTCATACTAACATATACGGATAGTAAAATATGGATATTAAGCTCATATCCACATAAATTACCCAAATATAGTAATGGTGATAAGGCGGACACACCCTCAGATTGCAAGACATGGTGCAGTTCCAGCACCGGTGTGTTTGTATATCCACATGTATTAATGGGAAAGTATTGACAATGTACTTACACCCACATACACTAATAGTAATATATGAATATTATACTCATGCCCACATACACTAACAGTAATATATGAATATTATACTCATACCCACATACATTAACAGTAACATATGAATATTCTACTCATACCCACATACAATAATAGTAATATATGAATATTATACTCATACCCACATACACTAACAGTAATATATGAATATTATACTCATACCCATATACACTACTAATAACACGCAGACACACCCTCCGATTGCAAGACAGGGTGCAGTTCTAACACCGGTGTGTTTGCGTCGCACTGCCAGTCTATGAACCGCATGTGGTCTGCGTGGTCATTGAGTTCGGGCAGAGCTTTCTTCAATGCGCTGGCAACGGTGGCAAGATACAGTGATCGTTTGGCGTGGTATCTGCAGATGGGATGGCGGGTGTGTGTGTGAGTGATAAGAGATACACTGATCGTTTGGTGTGTGTGTGAGTGATAATAGATACAATGATCATTTGATGTGTGTGTGAGTGATACGAGATACAGTGATCGTTTGGTGTGTGTGAGTAATAAGAGATACAGTGATCGTTTGGCGTGATATCTGCAGATGGGATGGCGCGTGTGTGTGTGAGTGATAAGAGATACAGTGATCGTTTGGTGTGTGTGTGAGTGACAAGAGATACAGTGATCATTTGGTGTGTGCGAGTGATAAGAGATACAGTGATCGTTTGGCGTGGTATCTGCAGGTGGGATGGCGGGTGTATGTGTATGTGGGAGACAAGCAGGTGTATGTGATGGAGAGAGTATGACACTCTCGAGAGAGGCCGTGAGCCTGAGCGAGTGATGGAGAATCAATAGTGGCCTAACGGGGTACAGTAGAGACACCAAGAACAACGTGTCACGTGCAACCAGCTGTGTGCTAGCAATGCACACACAAGACTTGTATGG